CAATACACTTTTGCCACCTCCCCTTCCAAGCATTTAGACCGTTGAAAAAAATGATTCTTCCTTAGAGTCAAAATATGCGTCTACAGCTGCTTTGACCTCGTCGTTTGTCGAAAATCTTTGACCTCCCAAGTGCTTTTTTAGGTTAGGGAACAGAAAGAAGTCTGATGGTGCCAGATCAGGTGAATACGGCGGATGCGGTAACAGTTCAAAGCCACAGTTGTGAATTTCAGCCATTGACTGTACTGACGTGTGAACACGGGCGTTATCTTGATGAAACAGGACTTTTCTTCTGAGCATTCCTCGACGTTTTTCTTTTATTTCCTCTCGTAAAGGACGTAGTAAGGTGCAGTAGTAATCAGAGTTTATAGTCTGACCCCTTTCAAGATAATCAATCATAATCACACCTTTCGAGTCCCAGAATACTGAAGACATCACCTTATTTGCCGACAAAATCGACTTAGCCTTTTTAGGGGGTGGTGAACCAGGGCTTCTCCACTGTTTTGATTGTTGTTTTGTTTCTGGTGTACAGTAATGAACCCATGTTTCGTCCATAGTAACAAAACGATTCAAAAAATCATCTGCATCGGCTTCAAATAACTCCAAACAGTCGCGTGAAATAGTCAATCGCGTCCTTTTTTGTTCAACTGAAAGCAGTCGCGGAACCCACCTCGCAGACACCTTGTGGAAACCCAACTCGTTGACAATGATGTTTTCAGTTCGTTCATATGAGATGCCTATAATCTCGGCTATCTCTCTAATTTTTAATCTGCGGTCTCCCATTATTAAATCAAGTACTTTTTTAATATTTTCGTCAGTAGTTGACGTCGAAGGCCTTCCAGAGCGGGGTTCATCTTTCACACTCTCTCTACCACGCTTAAATTCTGCTATCCATTTTTTGACGGATGAATATGACAGAGCACAATCGCCTAATGTACTGACCATGTCATCATGGATGGCTTTTGATGATAGCCCCTTCTTATGGAGGTACTTAATGACGGCACGCTGCTCGATTTGCTCCATTCGCGGAAATTATGTCCGATTACTTTGTTAATAAATTTATAAAATCACAACTAATTATCGCACACGTTTCGAACTTCACACAATGAACTAGTCTGAACTGAACTAAATAATGTGGGTAGATTTGATTTTTAGAATTGAATGGATCTGTGTTAGGCCGAGTACTTTTCAATCCACCCTCGTACAACAAAATCCCAGAAAATATACAAAATTTGTCATACACAAAGTTCAAAAATGTTATTAAACTAAGTTTATATAAAAAGGGTTATTATAATATTAAGGAATTTATGGATGATAATAACCCCTGGGAAGGGTGATCGCTACCAAGCTATTTCTAATTTGTCTTGTGTTGCTAATTTTAAATATGATTGTAAGCTATTATTGGAAAAAAATAGTCCCGCTGGGTTTCTTACTGGTTCTTCCCAGGACAGAGGTTTTTTTTTGCGAACCAGTGGTAAATGAAAACAATGACTTTCAATAAGTATTTGTTATAATCTACATTGAATAAAAAAGTTTGTTTCAAAAGAAACTCTCCCTTAAAAGACCCTTAGAGAAAAATTTAAAGAAATAAACATATTAACTTTGGCATCGCAATATATTTATGAAAATATAATGTATATGTACAAAAAAACATTTTAAATAGCTTTCATAAGAATAATGATGTCCATATTTAAAAAAAAAAAAAAAAAAAAAAAAAAAAAAAAAAAAAAAAAAAAAAAAAAAAAAATAAAAAAAAAAAAAATTTTTTAAAAATTACAACCAAAAAAAAAGGAGGAAAAAAAAAAAAAAAAAAAAAAAAAATTAAAAAAAAAAAAAAAAAAAAAAAAAAAAAAGAAGCAAAAACGACTTTCAATAAGTATTATGCAATAATCTTTATTAAATAAAAATTATTCATTTCATTTCATTTCTCGATATAATAACTCTCTACTTAAAAAAATAGGCAACATACTTTTATTCTTTCTCAAGACCTTATTCCATATTCATCAGAATTTCTCGAAGTGAAAATAAAATCATAATTTTAAACTTTATGGTAGAGTCACCGTGTTTCTGTTCTATGACTGCAGCACGAATGGATCAGCTCAATAGGCGAAGGACTACGCTCTCACAGAACACCAGCGTGCAATAGTAGCTTAATGCTGCTGTGTTTCCTATGGTGAGTGTAAAAATCCAGAGACAGTATTCACTGATAACCAGACATTCCATCTCAATCTTCAGAGTTACATTTTAATGCTCAATAGAGGTCGAGGATCAACATTACTGCCCATCAAAGTCCACAAGTCTTCTCCATAGATTATATGATATTCTGATTAAAACTATTTTAACCTGTTGTACACGCTTTTATTAGCTTGACCTGTAGTATGTATGTAACGGAATCTTTTAATTACATTTTCACCTACTTCTAGGAGTCTGGTTAACTTGAAAATTTGCACAGTGGTCAAGGGCCGATGACAATACAATGATCTCATAACTTTATATTAAAGCCCTGACTAGGATCATCAGGATTAAAAAAAATATTTTGATTAGTGAGTAGGTTAAGCGTATACCACACTTTTTATTTTTTAGTTCGATTGCTATTAAAGCGTCTCTTTTTTGTTTTTTAAACCATAATTTATTAACTATTATTTATTGAAGGTACTCCGGATTAACACTGACATCGGGACATCACTCACCTCAGTCCCCCGTGACCATGAGTGCCGAAAAACACCCGAAACGTCGGGAATTAAAAATAATATAAATTAAACGCGGTAAAATCCGTAAAAGTAGTTTTAATTAATAAGTAGTGTCCGCGTGAATATAAGAAATTATTATATGATATTTGTCATACTTGCCACGCTGAACGGGCGAGTTGGCAATGGTAGTTTTATTATTAAGCTATTGCATAGCTTCTATCGCGGGCCTTGAGCGTGGGGACCGAATCCAGAAATTCCGTAACGAAAAAACCTCAAGCTCCCCACTCCGACGGGCACGGAGGTGTGGCGTTGAAAGCCGTGCAAGCCGTCTAACGTCGTTTCAGTTCGGCAGACTTCGGCACTCGGCAGAGTTCGGCACGGTGTTTGTGTGCGTGCGACTAGACGTATGCGTGTACACTAGCTGCTAACTCAATGATAAAAATTCCTGAATAACCTACATGTATTGTAAGATATTAAAAATATTTTAAACAATATTAACTTCTCATTTATTCAATAAGAGAAAAAAAAATTGTTTTCTTATCGGTCACCACGCTCAAAAAGTGTAACTTGAATTAATATCAAAGACTTAACTGCATAAATAAAATAAATAAATAATTATAATTGCATAAGTTGATAAAACATGCTATGCAATAGCTGTACCGCGGCAGTCACCGAGTGCCACACGTATTTTTTTATTTTGAGTAATTATTGGGAACAGCACGCTGTCCACTAGCTGTTTCAGTTTCTCTCCGTCGCCTCTTACGACATCCACGAGATGATTCTGGGGGTAGGTAGTGGATTATCTTACGTAGGATTGACAGCTGTATCAACACCACAGAAATCTAAAAAATAGTACCTTATTATTTAGATTTCTGTGATCAACACAGAATGCCTTTTGATCCTTGATTGAATAGATATAGAATATAGAATAGATGCAGGTGTCTACAGGCTACATCGACCACATAGATACAATCAAGTAGACTGTATTCTGATTTGGCAGCAATACTTGCGAAAAAGTTACCTCAATCTGTTCGTTTAGCATTAGTGTCGACACACCTTTATTAACAGACTGCCAGTGAACGGCGCGGCGTTTAATCTATTTCAGTTTATATCAAACATTGCGAACTTTATATACGTTTTACATACATCTTAGATCATTCCTCTGCAGTCTAAACAGACTCGTATGAATCGAAACTATTATTAACTTCTTGGTACTGTAAACTGGATACATAAGCCGTTTAATAATATAGAAACATTGATATAATACTCTCGTTGTAGTCGTGACTAGTAACGGCAACTCATGGCACGATTACGTTGAGATTTAGTTAACGATTGCCTAGAACATGCTGAACACTTAAGAGCACACATATGCATAGCTTGTTTACGTATACTCTAAGACCGAATAGATAACATAGCCACATTACATTATTATTAGTCTATAATATCAGTTGAATTAGATCTCTTCACAATAGGATTTATCACCGACGAGCACGTGGTAAATCAGCACTTAAAATTGCAATTAACAATTTCATTGGTGCCGGCGGGGATCGAAATCGGATTACTCGCGTTCTGTTATATTTACAGCGAGCGTTAACCATTTGAGCTACCACGGCTCACTTTACATTTTACTACACACATTTACCACGTGCCCGGCGGTGAAGGAAAACATCGTGAGGAAACCTGCATATCTGAGGAATAAGAAAAAAATATGTTTCGAAGACATGTGAAGTTCGCCAACACGCGTTGGGGCAGGGCGGCGGACACTTCCTTGCCCTAAAACCCTCTCAGAAATGAGGGTAGGCCTGTGCTCAGCAGTGGGACGTATATAGGCTGTAACTTTAATAAGGCACTACTTTACTATAACAGGATTTATCGTAGACATCCCAATTTTAGCGCTAAGACAAGCTCCATAAAAACGTAATAGTTGCTATATTGTGAATCTGAAAAGCTGCAAAAGCGCTGATAAATAGCAATATATTAGGGTATAATGGCGGTTCCAAGATAGGCAAGATTCAATTAACCTCAAGGTATGTGCTAATTTGTACTTTTGTGAGATATATTCACACAGAAGATTTTTTTTTTAAATTAAGTGACCAGGATTGGAAAAATATTTTTTTTCAAATCGAATAAACTACGATTTTTTTTAAATCCTATTTAATCACGATTTTTTTTTTCATTTTATTATTTAATTTAACTATATTTTTGCGCAAAACGGAACGCGCTCTCAAGGGATTGCGCGGACACAGCGCGGTGATTTCCCTTTTGTTTGACATGCGAATGTGAAGCAAAAGTATTGTAGCAAAAACAAGTGTGATGTGCGTAGAAGAAATAGTAAGAAATGTGACACCACTAGCGTGGTGGACGTCACAGAAAAATATATTTAGTGAAGAGGAACAGTCAAAATTTATTCCAGTGATGAAGCAATTGTTTGGGGATCGCCCCAGCCTTCTTCAGCTAGCTGCTGTGGAAAGAGTGTTTTTCACCTTTGGAATTGTTAAGCGCAAATTAAGAAACCGACTGGGAATTGAAAAACCTGGATATGAAACCTTCAAATATTATAATAATGATATTGATTTCTCAGATTTAAACGACCCTAGTTTGTAACTAATTATAATTGTAAATCTTTTTTTATGTTTATTTCTTTGAAAGAAAGTAAAATTAAAGATTTTTGATTAAATCATTGATTTTAATTCAAAGCATCTTTTGATTTAATTCGTGATTTAAATCAAAATGATTTATCCATGCCAACCCGGCAAGTGACAAATGAACTTACAGTCAACCTGATGGTAAATTGCTACTGCAGTATATGGACACCTGCGGCCAACTTCAATCAAAGATCACAGATGTGTTGTCACCTCTGAGGACTCTGAGGAGACGAAATGCCTCATAGCCTATTACTATACCGGTTCTATACCTTCATGCTAATTAATATTAGCTTTCTTGGCTCTTATGTTATCACCAAAAAATTGATAAGATAAGAGTCTTATTCATTTTTTTGTTCATGAACATTAGCACCATAAAGCAGGGCTCACCGTGATTGCTATCGCTCGACCGAAGCAATGATTCATCAAACGTATGGAAAATACAGCCAAACAGTTGCGTCCCAAGCTCTCATATTTAGCAATAACTAGTTTGTACCCCGGCGCGTCGCTGCCGCAGAAGAAAGCATTATTGTAAAAATATCGTTTTAAATTTGGAAGAGTTATATTGTTTAATTAGGAATGATAATATGTACATTCATTGAAATTGCGTGATATATAATTTTTACGTGGTAGAGCCACGCTGTAGCTATATTATGTTTTTATCACGAATGAATCGGCTCGACCAGGGTAGGACCACGCTCTAACAGAAACCCAGCGTAAAATAGATCAATGCTGCTGTGTTTCGTATGGTGAGTTTAGAGAACCAGAGACTCTTTTTACTGTAAACGAGGCATTCCATCTTGTCCTCAGGAATGGCAACGCATTTACATTTTAATTCTTAATCGAGGATAGATGTAGATGTTTATGGGCCACGGCATCCATCTTACCATCAGGTGGACTGTGTGCTCGTTTTTTAACTCTTATTCTACAAAAATAAATAACTTTCAAATAAGTTTGCCGTATGAGACGCGCGCCATCTACTGTAATTTAATTAATATTATGTCTGTAACCTTTGCGCAAGTGCCAGCAGTAAGTTAATGAAGTTTTACCGCAATCTGATGAACGGTATAGCAGCGCATAAAATACAAACAAATAAAAATTAAGTTTTATATAATAGAATATAGTACCTGGATGACCTTCTGGTTTTTTTTTTGATATTACATTTAGATACAAATTACATACTGATGAAACATGAATAATATTTTTTGATCTTATTGACATAATAGAAAAAACTGAACTGGTTATTTGAATAAAAAATCATGAGTGCAATTAGTTACATTAATATTTTCGTATTTTTTTTAAAACAATACTAAAAAAAGGCTCGAAATAATAGATTTTCTCACAAAAGAAGGGAACCTGAAAAAAAAGTCGGATCGAAGACAAGACGCGAACCAAGGCATTAATTACAATTTCGCGACCGCTCGATATCCACTTGAGCTATTACGATTTACGATCATTAACAAAACATCAAAATTTACCTTCTTATATTGTAGCAGTTTCTCATTGCCTGAAAACACGGACAAAAAGACATTGTCTAAAAAGAAATCCTAGCTAGATCGATTTATTGCCCCCGAAACTCCCTGGACACTAAATTTTATGAAAATCATTGGGGCCGTTTCCGAGATTCCGAATTCCGATTGTATATATAAATCGTTGGGCGTTATATATATATATATATATATATATATATATAGATATATATATATATATATATATATATATATATATATATATATATATATATATATATATATGTACACTCACCGGCACGGAAACTTGGCCAAGCGGTTATCTCGCGATAGCAAAAGCTTTAAGTGTTTCTGATGAATGTTTGTTATGCAAGTATGTCAAAAAATGTTTACCCTCAAGTTCAAGAAGGTAATTCATTATGTTTAAGTGCACCATGACGAATTCTTTAATTTTTAGTTGAATCGGGTCATTTGAGCGACTAAGTTCACATTTTAAATTTGTGTGTTGTGAAAAGTTTACTGTAAGGTTATTCAATTATTGTGATCTTGTGTCTTAATTAAATAACTAAAGGTGCTTTAAAGCCAATAAAAATGCCATTAACACCAGCACAAGTTGCACAAGCAGTAGCATTAATTGACCAAGGGCTGACACAGCGTGAAGTTGCTATTGTGCTTAACGTACCACGGTCCTCAATGCAGTATTCACTGAAACGATACCAGGAGACAGGCCGCTATACCCGCAGGCCAGGCAGTGGGGGCGTAAGGTGCACATCGGCCCGGGACGATCGTTTTATTGTTATGGAGATTTTGAGAAACCGCTACCTGACCGCTGTTGAGATACGCCAGCGGCTCCAAATCGCAAGAGGCGTTAATGTTAGTGAGCGTACGGTGAGAAGACGAATGGAGGAAGTGAATTTAAAAGCTCGTAGACCAGCACGAGGTCCAGAACTTCTCAGACAGCACCGAGTAGCCCGACTTCAGTTCGCAAGAGAACATGTCAATTGGACCCACGAGCAATGGGCTAGAGTGTTGTTCACAGATGAGTGTCGAATAGCTTTACGTGCTCCAGACAGTCGAGAAACGAGTGTGGAGAAAAAGAGGAGAGAGGTTTCTACCCATTACCACCACCCAAACTGTGAGTTTCCATGGAGGCTCAATAATGGTATGGGGAGGTGTAAGTTCCGACGCACGTACAGAGTTGGTCATCGTCGATAATCGGCTTACAGCTACTCGATACATCGAGGAAGTTCTTCAGGAGCACGTAATGCCTTATTCGGGATTCATTGGACACGACCAATTCCTCCTCATGCACGATAATGCACGCCCGCACGTCGCACATTGTGTAGAGGAATATCTGGAAGAGGTTGGAATACAAAAATTACAGTGGCCAGCTCGTAGCCCGGACTTAAATCCAATTGAGCATGTATGGGGTATGCTCAAAAGAAAGATAAAGTCCAGCTCCAAACCGCCACAAACTCTAAATGAGCTCCGAAATGCAGCGCTGGCCGCTTGGGACAGCATACCGCAAGTTGTAGTCAGAAACATCATTCAAAGCATGCCAGATCGAATGCAAGCGGTTATCAGGGCTAGAGGAGGAAACACCCGATATTAAAACTGATAGACAATAAAGAAACAGACTTAATTTTTAACTTTGTAGTGTTTTTAAAGTGACAATGGAAAGATGTTAATTTTAGTGAAAACATGTTATCTTGAAAAGAAAAATTTCGGTGAAGTAAACATTAAATTTCTATGTTCTAAAACCATTAGAGACACTTATTGAATGCATCTACCCTTAATTTACTGTTAAAAAAACGTTTCAGTGCAAATAATCAGCAAATTCACGAGTGGCCAAGTTTCCGTGCCGGTGAGTGTATATGTATATATATATATATATATATATATATGTATATGTATATGTATAAATCGTTGGTTGGGGGAAAATATTAATTAAACTAATTGCAATCTCGGAAACGGCCCCAACGATTTATATACATAACCTATCTATATAATCTATGAATTCCGATTATATATATATATAATAAAAAAAAAAAATATATATATATATATAAAACCTAAAACATCGTGAGGAAACCTGCATGTCTGAGGAATAATAAAATAAAAATATTTCGAAGACATGTGAAGTTCGTCAACACGCAATTGGGCAGCGCGGCGGACACTTCCTTGCCCTAAACCCTCTCAGAAATGAGGGGGAGGCCTGAGCCCAGCAGTGGGACGTATATAGACTGTAACTTTACTTTTTTCTTTTAAAATATATATATATATATATATATATGTTAGATAGAATATATGAAAAATACACGTGAAACTTCTTGTTAGATTAAAGCATCAAGCAAACATTTATAAATCAGTCCGACTTAAGCGTCTCGGAAACCTATTATAATGATTAAAACCGCATCAACACGTATCTATGCCGTTCTAAAAAAAAGACGTATAATTAGAGACATAAAAAAAATGTACTAAGACAATAAGCGCTCTTTAAAATTTCGCAATACGTGAGTATACCGAATTCGATCCCACCGTAACAAATGAAGCTGCCAATTGCTATTTAAGTGCTGATTTACTATGTGCTCGGTGGCAGCGTAAAACCGCTAGGAAACTTGAGCTTGCGAAATTAAAAAAAAATCCAAGAAAATTCAACGAACTCCGCCAACTCTAATTGTAGTCGCGCTAAACAATTTTTAGTAATGAAGGGTCTGTACCTAGCAGTGGTTGAACGTACCTACAAAGTTGGTTGTTCCTTTACTTTTTTAAATGAACTATAATATATGAAGTCACAAGAATAACTTGAATAAAGTGATCCACCATGAACATTTTTAGAACTACAGCTACATAATTTTAAAATATTGGAAATTATAATTTAACTTTCTCCGCATCATTTAAATTATTTTTGTTCTAATGACTTTTATACGTAAGGCAATATAGCAATCACGACTTCTCCGAATATATAATCAGTACGGTTTAACCTCATTTATTTCCTGTAACTGAAACTGAATTAGAACGTGATTACATAGTAGGGCATTAGGGCGGGGGCGAGTGTGAATCAACCCTTAGGCTGCAACGGTGACTCACGGCCCTGACATTTGCCACGTGTATTGTTTGACAGCGTCTCTGCTGCTTTCTTTAACCTTTTTACGACTTCAGGTCATGCTATACAAGATCACGGTGAAAGATTTTAGCGTACCTAATGGAAAACGACACGAAAATTCCGAAACTCATAGTAAGGGAGGTCATTAATAATTACCTAACCCATTTAATTTGAAATTTATGCATATATCTGAGCTTATGTTGTGAGTTGTGCCGGCCAAGGCTTGGTTAGGACGGGCGACTTCTTCTCCACGGTAAGTCCACCGCTGGACATGGGCGTCTCGTAGCTTCTGTAGGTAGGATATGTCCTAACCATCACACTTGGCAGATTGACGCTAATTGATTACTCTTCGTCGCCAGTCTGAGTATTCTATGTAACTATATGTAT